GCCCTCCTCTGGACCCTCTCCAACAGCTCCCTGTCTTTCTTGTACTGGGGGCTCCAGACCTGGAAGCAGTACTCCAGATGGGGCTCACAAGAGCAGAGTAGAGGGGAACAATCACCTCTCTGTCCCTGCTGGCCACCCCTCTTCTGATGGAGCCCAGGATCCCATTTGCCTTCCGAGCCGCAAGGGCACACTGCTGGCTCATGTTAAGTTTTTCATCTATCAAAACCCCCAGGTCCTTCTCCACAGGGCTGCTCTCAAGGACCGCTCCTTCCAGTCTGTAGGGACATTCCCTGTTGTCCAGCACCTGTATCCAGATGAAGAGCAGTTGTGACCCAGGAGCATCTGCTATGAGGTGAAGAACAGAAACTAGGCATTTGCTGAAGAGAGTGTGTGTGTTGAGCAGGCTGACATGGCCAGTGTTTGAACCCAGAAGGCCCCAGAGTGTGTGTGGATGTGTGTGGTTGTGTGCTGCCCTTTCCTTTCAGGGTCACAGTGCTGGGAGGGTGATTCAGTGTTTGTCCAACTGGTCCCGTTGAATGAATGGAATGAAACCAAGGTCATGACCTCCTGCAATAAGAGCATTCTTGCTTCCATCCTTCCCCTGCACATACAAACTCTGGGCCCTTTTCATTCAACCTGTCTGCAGGAGGAGCAGATCTTTCTTCCTTAAAGATGTGGAAAAGTCTGGAGCGTGTGGCACAAGAAAGGAAGTCAAAACATGTGAGACTCTTCATCCTAGAGAAAAGAAGGCTCAAAGGGACTCCAACAGTGTGAATATTAGGAAAACTTTCTTCTTGGAAAGAGTGGTAATGCATTGGCAAAGGCTGCCCAGGGAGGTGGTGGAGTCACCATCACTGGAGGTATTCAAGAAAAGGGTGGATGTTACACTGAGTGACGTGGTCTGTAGGCACAGGTTGGTGGTTGGACTTGAGGTGATCCTATTGGTCTTTCCAACCTTAATGATTCTATGAATGTACATAGGGATGGTAGGGAATGAAGAAGACCAAGCCAGACTCTTCTCACTGGTACCCAGTGATGGGATAAGAGGCACTGGACAAATAATGGAAAAAATAGAGGATTATATTTAAACATGAGAAAAACACTTTTTCACTGTGGGTAGCCTAAACACTGGCACAGGTTGCCCAGAGTGATTGTGGAGTTTCTATCCATGAAGATTCTCAAAACCAAACTGGCCACGGTCCTGAGTGACCTGCTCCACCTGATCTTACTTGGAATAGATGGGTCAGGTTGGTTGCTCTCTGGAAGTCCCTTCTAACTGCACTCATTGAATGATTCTGTGTTTAGGTCCACTGGGAGGCTGCCAGGACCAAGCTTCATCCTGGGGATGATGATGCCGTATTATCCTTTTGCAGCATGGCAGCCTCTCTCTGCCCTTCAGGGTGGACTCCTGTCAAGGCTTGCTGAATATTTTGGGACTTGCACAAGTTGTGTGCAGAGCTCACAGTGCTGTCCAGGCACATCTAGAGGGTTGTGGTATTTAGGGGCATTCAGGGTCCTAGGAAATTTGCAATTTAGCTGTAACCTGATATGAGGTTTTGCATATTATTAGGGAAGGAGGTTGAAAAATCCATGTGCTGCTAGGTTGTAGAGCAAGGATGTGCTCTCAGCCATAACTGCCCTGGACCCAAAGGCACCTTGAAATGCCACATCCAAACTTGCACCTAAATGGGAAACGCCTACTGCAGCATCTGAAGAACTGCCTGAATGACTTTGAGAACAGTGTTGCCCCTAGGGACCTTCTGCATCAGTGGGAAGAGAAGCTGAGTCAAAGGTTGGATCTTAGGAAAAGCTCTGAAAGAGTGGTTGAATATTGGAACAGGCTGCCCAGAGAGGTATAACAGAGTCACCGTTCCTGGAGGCATTCAAGAACCGTGTAGACATGGGACTTAGGGACATGGTTTAGTGGGCAATATTGGTGCTTAGGTGGACAGTTGGACTAGATGGTCTTAGAGGTTTTTTCCAACCTTTGTGATCCTACGATTCTATAAATGAGATGTGTGCTTTGCAGAGGCACTCTGCATTTCCAGGCATGAGCATTTCTAGCCTTGATGCTGTTGTGGTTTTGAGAGAATTGAGAGCAATGCACTGATCTCTTCTGTACCAGGACAGGCTGCTTTTCTGATGAGAACACAGGACTTCCCTGTCTTAAAATGAGCAATCAAAGGGTTTTAATTTGTAGACGCTTGCTTGGTGATGGGGAAGTCACAGCTAACTAGCAGTTCTGCTCTTGGGAAAGAGCACCCAACACCCTTTACCCTAATTTCTGCCAAGTATAATGTGCTTCCATGATTTCTCCTTCTCCTGATCTACCCCAAACCAAGTGAGTCCATTTTTGTGCACTATGGATTCACCCAAAGGTAGAAAGAGCAGCAGAGGTCCTCAGCCATGGTGCCTCTGAGCCCAGAGCAGGACCACTATGAGCTGACCATCCCCATCACTGACAGCCAGGACAGATGCATCACAAGCTGTTGGCTGCTTCCTTGATGGTATGAAATAAGATAACCCCTGTTATCCTGCTATTAAATAGCACTGCTCCTCTTCCATCCCTCTCTGCACTCAGGGATGCTGAACAGAGCAGGTGCTGTTGGCAGCTGTCAGATTGTCTCCCTCTAGTGCTTATTCCAATCTCCTGCAACACTGGCAGCCAGGAGTGAATCAGCCCTCAAGTTGTTTTAAGGTGTGCAGTACTGGCTGGAGTTTGGTGGAATTAAAGGGAGATCATAAAATCATGGAACGAGGGAATCGTTTGAGCTGGAAGGGGCTCTTAAAGGCCATCTAATCCAACTTGCCTGCAACAAACAGGGACTCCCACAGCTCCATCAGGTAGTCAGAGGCCTGTCCAGCCTGACCTGGAATGTACCCAGGGATGGGGCATCTGTCCTGGTATGCTTATGAAGCAGCAATTCCTCCCCATGAGGAACAAGCAATGCAAGTCCTGATGTGCAAAGGTTGGGGAGTGCGTTACTTTGGATGTAAATAACCTGAAAAATTAAGGGGCATAGAGAAAGGAGATCTGCTTTGTCTTTCACCCCTTTAAATCAGATAGAATAGCAAAACAGACAAGTTTCTTTCAACTCTCTCTCTTCCCCATCCACTTTCAGCCTCCATCTGGACATGACCTTCCAAATTGGACTGGAGAAAAAAACCAACCAATAACAACAACAACAAAACCTGCAGTATTTCACATTTCACAAAGCTTTTGGATTACCAAAATTTCACCATCTGCTGGAGAACAGTGAACCTCCTGGATGAAGACACTTGGTGTCCATGGAAGTGCCCAAGGCCAGGCTGGGTTAGACACTAGGATCTGGATAGGCTTAGGGTCGCATTCAACCCAAGTCATGCTATGATTCTGTGATACTCTCAGCACCAAATGCCTTTCCATCAGGAGATCAGAATGTCCCCAGAGCAAAGTGAGAGGGAGAAGTTTGATAAACAGACAGCTTTGTCAGAGCCGAAGGGCTTGCAGAGAAGGCAAAGGGTAGACTTACAGGAGGAGATGGGTCACTAGGGCTGTAATGATGTGAAAACGTACCATTATTACCATGGATAATGATAGCAGAGATGTGCTGATGCTGGAACAGAATAGCCATCCTTCTGGGAGGGGATCTGACATCACTTCAGCAGCGACATAGCCATGTCCTGGGGAGAGCATAAGGCAGGACAAGGTCCTCCTGCTACCAGTGTGATGAGCCAGGCCAGCACAAAGCTGCAAGTGGGATTTAAAGGGAACCTGAGGAGCAGAGAAAGAGATTTTCCTCAGCCATGAAGCCTTGCTTTGTATTTCCCTGCCTCCTCATTCACCAGTGTGTTTATTTTCTCCTGTCTCACAGGAAATCTGCGCCGATCCCCATCTCTTTGTGGATGGGATCAGCTCCCATGATTTACACCAGGGCCAGGTTGGGAACTGCTGGTTTGTGGCTGCCTGCTCCTCCCTAGCATCCCGCGAGGCCCTGTGGCAGAAGGTAAGCTTCTCTTCAACACCTTGGTCTCATGCTTTGTTTGCCTGGCTCAGATATTGGATCTTCAGAAGTGCTTCAGTCCTGAAAAGCTGTTCATGTGGAAAGCCTCTCTTTAAAAAAATGTTCTTTGAGAGGAATTGTTGTGATTACAGCCAAATCACATTTGAGCCAAACTCTTGGCGAGTTTCTCCATAACCACATGAATCAAGCCCTGCTCTGTCCTTCCACATCCCAAATCTGACCATCCCCATTCCAGAATAACCATATACATATATATATATATATATTCAGGATGCTCAACTGCAGTGCTGAAAGTCCCTGTTTCCTGTGGTATTACCTCTCTGGCTGCCCAGCGTGTTCTCACCTTGGCCACACCTTGCACAGGGGCAGTAGGATGATCTAAGGATATTAGTGTGCCTCCCAGGCCACTGTTCCCATGGTTTGCTCCACACAATGGGATTCCTATGAGATTGGGGTCCAAGGGCATCGTGGTTGCACTGTCACAAAGCAGGAGGGCACTGAGGAGCTGCAGAATAGGGGACAGAGCCTGAGCAGTGTGAAGGGACAGGAGGTGCCAAGTGCCACATCCTTTGCCAGCCTGTGGACGTTTTTACCATGTCCTTCCTGGGAGAAGAATTCAAGCCTATGAAAACCAGTGCAGCTGTGGTCTTCAGTCTGGTACAGGTGTCTCTCATCCTAGGACAAGGGGCCAGCAAGTTGCAAGTGCCTTTATCTAGATTTTAATGTGAAAAGGCAGCCACCAAAGCCCCATAGTATTGGCAGCATCGCCCACTTCACCCACTGCAGCAGACCAGTATTCCCTCCTTGCTCTGTGTGCTGAGGTCCCTCCAGTCTCTACTATTGTGGTCATAAACACTGAGCTCCACCACGGGAATTTGTCTTTTATTTTCTGTTAAAATCAAGTCTTTCCAGCACGTGTGAACAAGGTAGGTTTTGTTGGCTTCTGGTTAAGCAATAAGATTTCCTCCTACTTCTGCACTTCTGTAGCTTGTGGCTGTTGTTAGAGGCGTGGTGGAAGGTGTTATTTAGGCTGTTCCTCTGCATCGTCATCTCCCCAAGGCAAGTTCTCCTCCCTCTTCACCATTCACCTCCAGCCCTGCCCTGGGAGATGTCAACCAAACAGAAGCCAGGTCTCTTTGGACACCTCATTATTTCAGTTTACCAATGGCATTGCTTTTCCTCCCTTGGCAATTTTGCCATAGGTGTTTGTGACTTCTCATTTTCCATACCCTTAACTCTCAGAGCTGTTCTTTATCTGCATCCTTGCATCCTTCTTTCTTTCAGAAAGGTTTGTTTTACAGCAAAAGCTAAAGTTTCAGTCCTCTCCCCATGCCCAGAGATGTTTACTGGTGGCTCATTGGCGTTACAGCATCTGCACACTCAGGACCCTTCAGTGCTATTGTCTGCTCCTGACCCATCAATACACCAATAAAAGCAACAGTTGATAGGACAGGCAAGACAGCAAAACACAAAGCTGCTGAACTGTCATTAGACACCAGAATGTCTCTGATTTAAAGTCTGGGAAGAATTAAAAGGTGCTGATGCAGGTGTTAATACACTGAAATATCAGCACAGGGATCTTGGTCCAGCTCTCCCATTGCTCCTAGAAAAAACTGGGTAGGAACTAGGGACTGGGAGAGAATTGAGAGCAGTTTCCTAATGTCTTAAGCCTTGCCTGGCCCTTTGTAGTTTAAAACTGGCTGTATAGAATTCTGTTTTGTGGCCTTTCTGAGAAGCCTAGCTCTAATGAAAAGAAATAAAGGCATTGGATTATGGAAGGGATTAAGTCATTTCCAGTAGCACTTTGTCCTGGAGGGTGGTCTGGATCTGTAACCAGGTCTCCAGGGCTTCCTGAAGGCATCTTTAACTTTAAAACCCAAGAGTTGATATGACAGTTGTTGCTGAGGGTGTTTGAAAGCTAGCAAACAAGCAAAGCAAGAGCTCAGAGGACAGCAAGAAGGGTCTGGTTTCCTCAAACCTCTCTTTAATCCCTTCAGATGGGGCTATGTGTGGCCCTGTAGCTTATTTGACTCTGCTCACAGTGTCTTTAGGAGCAGTATCAGACTGGTGAGTACAGGGCAGTTCCCAGTGCAGTGACCCACCTTGGGCTCCTGATGTCTTCTGATGGTCTTTTTTGGAGACTTCTTATAGAAGTCCCCAGGTATCATGCTCACTGGCTGTGAGTTGTGTGGCATAGCCCAGGTGATAGCAGTGCCTTCTTTAAAAATATCTTAGAAAACTCTTTCCTGGATTTTATTTAACACACCTTGAGTTCCCAAAGTGCTCTGCAGAAATGTGATGTGACAGATGCCAACATGAGTCACAGACAGGACGGAGAGAACCAAAGAACCTAACCATAGAATCATAGAATCACCATAACACCATACAATCTAACTCCATACAATGTGCCACGTAAAAGTTGATGCTGAAATCCATGGTCTCTCTGAGAGTCCAAACCAGTGGCTCTATCCTAAGGATGGCACAGCATGCTTGAAGGAGTCAGGCCTTTTCCATGGAACACCTGAAGTCATGATGATGGTTTAGGCATCTTTTCATGGTGCATGGCAGAGGGGTGTATTGTTAAACATGGCAGCTCTGTTTGGGATCCAAAGCCTCTTGGAGAACCCTGAAAAGAGGAATGCATTCATCCTCTTTTATCCCATCCACTGCCTGGAGATCCCACCAACACAGCACAGAGGCTCTGGATGTAACCATACTCAGCAGTTTTTAGGAAATGAGCAGCCCCAGGTTAGGTATAGCAGTCTTGTTGGTGCTCACTTGGACTCAGAGCATCTCTACAGCACCTGGAAGAGCTTGACTGCATCTTGGATATGCTCCTTCACCTGGCCCAAAGAGACAAACATAAGGCCCAGATGTGGACCGTGTCCACATCCCCATTTCCCAGAAGCATTGAGTAAAAGGGAAGTCCATGCATGAGCACCTTTTTCTCCAATGTCAATCCAGTCCATTCGAGGGCAGCAGACCTATGCTGAGCTGTTGGTGCCCACTAAGGCTTCCTGCCAGCAGTGCCACCCAGCAGAAGACATGGGGTCCTAACTGTGAGTCAAACATGAACCCTTGTAGAGATGAACAGCCACACATGGTGCCAAATTGCCATGAGTGCAGCCATCAGGGCAAGATAAATTATTCTTCCCCTTCCCCACAGGCACTTGTGACTCCTCATCTGGGATTTGTCCAGATTTAGGCTCTACGGACACCAGAGAGATGGTTTTGGGTGGCCAGGAGAGAATGAAGGAGGAGCTTTTTGCAGTTTGGAGGGGGGAGGGTACAGACAAGACGGAGCCAGATTTGAGCACAACCACAGGACAAATCATAGAATCATAGAATTGCTCAGGTCGGAAAAGACCTTAAAGATAATTCAACAAAATTCAACAACAGTATGGGAAATGAATATAAAAGGAAAAAAAAAAAAAAAAAGAAATATCTTCAGCATGAGGATGTTCTGATAGTAGGGTCCAGAGTGCTCCGTGCACAGAGATGCTCAGAGTTGGGATAGACAAACCTCCAGGCAACCTGGTTTAACCATAAAGTCCCAGTCCGAGCAGAGGGTTGGAGCAGACTCCTCCAGAAGCTGCTTCCAACATGAATGATCCCACGAACCAGTATTCTGAGAATACACTGGCACCGACACCTGCAGGATGGTTGCCCTGACTGTGCACCTTCATTTAGGGATAACGAGCTGCACTTTGGCTTGCTGGAGCCGTTGTCAGGGAGGTTGCCAGGGAGGCTGACATCAGATATCCCTTCCCTATAGATTATCATGCACAGCAGCACCATCAGTTCCTAATCTGCAAACGAGATGGGAGGGCACCCAGAGGAAGCCCTGGAGGGTGTTTTGCGTCAGTGGCCTGGGTTGCCTAGCACCGCTGGGACCGTGGAGAAGGTGCACCAGAATTTTTACCCCTGCGTGTCCTATCTGGGAGCCAAACGTTGCTGAGGACGTAGCAGAGGAGCAGTGGAGGAGATGGCAGCTGAGGCAGGGGAGCTCAAGCTGCCCTTCATCCACGATGACCAGCTCACCCGGTGCATGCGTTTGAGAGCCCAGAGCCTGCAGCAGAAAAATGCCAGGCCCCAGGATGGTGAGAAGCTGCTGCATCCCAACGAGCACGTCTACAGGGTAGATTTCATCCGGCAGCACAACCTGTGCTTCCTCCGCTGGGACGTCCAACTGGAGAGATCTGGGAAGGTGATGGTGACCGGCACTTCCCAGCACTGGACTCCTGATCTCACCCACCTGATGAACCGGCAGCTGCTGGAACCAGTGGGCATCTTCTGGAAGAAACCAGGGGCCAAGGAGGTGGAGTGCAATGAGGCAGATGCCCAGGAATTTGGGGAGCGGCTCGTGGAGTTAGCCAAGATCCGCAAGGTGATGTATTTCCTCCTTGCTTTCACCGATGGCCTTGAACCTGCTCAGCTGAAGGGTTCCATCGTTTTTAAGGCCTGATTCCCTCCAGCTCTGTCCTTCTTGCTCAGCTATGCTTTGTCTTCGTTTTTCTTTCTTTTGTTCAGTTCTCGGTTGTTTCTATGTGGCTCTTCATTGAAGGAGGGCATAACAAAATGGTGGAGAACATCTTGGCACTTCTGGAGCTCCTCACCCCTGAAAAACATTCCCTTATCATGCTTTCCTCAATCTGAATGAAGGGAAAGAGAGAGAACGAGCCATGGATGCTTGCTGCTTTATTTGCCTAGAGTATAATTCTGCTTGCTTGTGAGTTCAGGGATTCACCAGGCCTGGCTGGCACAGTCTTGCTGGCTTGGAAATGTTTGGCTGCTCTTACCCTTCCAACCATGGCACCTGGATACAAAATGCCTGATGGAAAAATAAATTGCCATGCTGCAAACAGGAGAGGCATCCTGGAGAGAGTGCTGCTTTCCAGTTTCCATCCCAACCGTCCAGAAGGGGAGGCTTGTTTGAGATGGATCCTTGCAAGGATGCTGAATGCTTGCTAGTTACAGTGACTTATGTGACTGTGACTGTTTCTGTGACTGTGACTGCTCCATGTCTCTAAAGACCAGACCTATGGAAGCTCACCTTACCATGAAGCTGAAGGACCTTCAGACCTGTTGCATTCAGCAGATTGCAAACTCACTGGACAAAAAAATAGGAGGGTGAACCTTCCTTTTCCTGACAGCTTTCACTGTTTAATACTGGGGGTCAGTGTGGGGAGGTGTGCTCAAGCATGTTGCCTTCCTCTTGCTGCCTGTATTTCTGTTACAGAGATGAGTTGGAGCAGGCATGCATGTGTGTGCAGAGCCAGCAGCTCAGAGCAGGCTGTAGAATCTGAGCCAGCAGCTAGTCCCTTGCAGCAAAACCAATCTGTGCATGATTATGGCCTTATAACATCTTCATGGCCAAGTTGGATAGGGCATTGAGCAACCTGGCCCAATGCAAGGTGTCCCTTTCCATGGCAGGGTGGTTGGAACTAGATGATCTCTAAGGTCCTTTCCAACCCAAACCATTCTTTGATTCTGTGATCTATAGAGAGCACTTTGCAAACACATCCAGGATGGTTTCTTACTGTCTCATCCATTGACTGTGGATAAACTGCTAACTTTGTACATCCTCTTTCCCTCCACCAGAAGGTACTTTAGTGACGCTTCTTGAGAGTCACAGGTGGGAATGTCCTTTGAAAAAGTATTTTTATGATTGGTTTGCACTCAAATGATGGTGTGCATTCCTCAAGGTATGGACTGAGGTTTTCCTGAGGTATGTAAGGAGAGGGCAGTGATGGGAAACCAGAACAAGAAGGCGCGATACCCACGGCCTACTGATTGTGTAGACCATTCCCAAAGGAGTCCAGCCTCTTCTCCAGATCCCATGGAGATCCTGGACACCATGCCCTCTCTAGCCCCATGACAGTGTATAAAATGATATGCACAAGTTGTATTAGAGAGAAAGGAAAAGTCAAACAGTGATGGAGAGAAGTTGGGAGCTTTGAGTCTTGTCTGCAGCCAAAGTTCAGCAACTACATATGGCCATGCCATGGACACTGCTGGAGAAGTTGATGTCACTGCTTATATCCCAAGACATGCTGTATTCAGTGAAAAGAAATAAAAGGGGACCTGTCCCTGCTTGGCTGTAGTATGGACCTATGGTGGATCAAACCCAGTTCTAGGGTCCCAAAACAGTCTCTTTTCCTATAGGAGAACCCTCTTCATATATCCCAGAACAAAGTTCCTGAGTGCAGACCAGATTAGATCCCGTAACAGGAGTCACTGCCAACTTCTACAAGGATTTTTGCTTGCCAGGTCTCATAATATGTAATTGCTACAGTGCTGTTTGCTCAGTTAGAGTTCCTGCAGCAGGTACCTTGCTTGATATTGACATGCCACAGTAAATAAAAGCCTTATCAGCTGTTTTCCCCTTAAGGATCAAGGCTGTGCATATTTTCTTGATTCCCTGTTTGGTAGCTGCCCCAGTCCTGCATGCAGTAAGGCAGAACCAATTTTCAAGTCATTTCTGGTATTTTTGATAACCTTTTCTTCTGCAAAAAAAAGTAAACAGAACATTTACCTTCTTCTCTCTCAGCATGAAAGGCTAAATGGAGCATGTAGTGTTGGGTTTGGTTTGGAGGAGTGTGAAGCTGGGCAGAGGAGAACTTGATGGAGGAATTGATCCTCAGGTGGATCTCACCTTTCCATCAGAGCTGGGAGTGGGAGGTGAATGGGGTACTCAGATTCCTCTCTCCCACAGGACAGATGATCCATTTTATGCCAACCCCTGAAAATATCCCTACAAAGTTTTCATGCCCTGTAAAGGCTTTCAGATACACCACTCCATCCCATCTCCTGGGGATGTTCAGTCCTGGTTCGTTCAGCAGATTGGCACAGCAGGTTCTCCTCCTCCCTGTCCTCAGCTGGCAAGTTCCCAATAGAATAGCTCCTGCTTGGAGGAATCAGCACCCATCCATCCCTCCTTCAAGGCAGGGATGTTTCTCCAGAGTCATAGGTGCATTTTCTGTTAACTCCAGAGTAAGGAAAAGTCTGCATCAGGTTAGGGAAATGTCATTTGCACTGCCTCAATGCAATCAAGCTGAGTCCAGGACTCAGCAGGGTCCCAGGATGAGTGGTTAAGGGCACGCTCTCCAGTAACCACTGAGGAGAGGTGAGATATCTGAGGAAGGTTCCTGGGGGTCAGTTAGAGCTGTGAATCTCATTTATATGACTATCTCCTGCTTAATCCTTTAGGGAATATGCAGGGAATGGCCACAAGCAGAGTTGTGCTGTGTGCTTGAAGTGTAACTGTCCTGGGACCAGTATCCCAATAGGAACCTGGAATGCCACCTCTCTCCTGTTGTGCCAGTGGGTGTAGGAGATGGCCCCTCTCTGGCCCAGGGACACCACTGTCCTTCTTATACCCTTCTCATGCTCTCAGAAATTCACCATATCATAGAATCATGGAATCATTAAGGTTGGAAAAGACCTCCAAGGTCATCTAGTCCAACTGTCCACTTACCCACCAATATTGCCCACTAAACCATGTTCCTGAGTACCACATCTACACGGTTCTTGAACACCTCCAGGGATGGTGACTCAACCACCTACCTGGACAGCCTGAGCTTGGCCGTTCATTTGGAGATGTTTTTCCTAACATCCAACCTGAATCTCCCCTCTGGCACAACTTGAGGCCGTTACATCTCATCCTATCAATGTTACTTGGGAGCAGAGGCTGACACCCACCCCACTGCAGCCTCCTTACAGGCAGTTGTAGATGGCAGTAAGGTCACCCCTGAGCCTCCTCTTCTCCAGACTGAACAATCCCAGCTCCCTCAGCCACTCCCCATAAGACCCATAAGGTGCTCCAGACCCTTCACAGCTCTGTTGCCCTTCTCTGGACACACTCCAGGTCCTCGATGTCTTTTTTGTAGTGAGGGGCACAGAACTGAACACAGCATTTGATGTGCAACCATGCCAGAGCTGAGTACAAGGGAGCGATCAGCTCCTGCTCCTGCTGGCTGCACTATTGCTGGTACAAGCCAGGATGCTGTTGGCCTCTTGGCCATCTGGGAGCACTGCTGGCTCATTGTCAGCCAAGAATTGAGAGTTCATGGAGAGTTCTATGGGAAGAGGAGCCTCATGCTTGAACTCACACCTCACTGTTTGCCAGGTTGAGCAGAGGCTGGGCTCTGGAGATCATAGAGTCATAGGATATCCTGAGCTGGAAGGGGCTCACAAGGATCATCAAGTCCAACCCCTGGCTCCATACAGCACCACCCAAAATCCAGACTTTGTCTGAGGGTGATGTCCAAGCACTTCCTGAGCTCCTGCAGCTCAAGTGCGTGCCCACTGCCCTTTGGGAGCTTATCCATTTCCATCACTGTCTAGGGCAGAACCTTTTCTGAGAAGAGATCAGACTCCTTGCCCCTTGAAACACTGTTGGAACACAGCCAGCCCATGATCATAGATTCTGCTCTGTGTGTGAAGGCCAGCCACAGCTCTTGCTGCCTTCAGCAGCTGAGAATAATTCCACTGCCATACCCAGATGAAGGGACAGAGGAGAATGGTTGGGGACCAGTACCTCCTGCCACCATTAGTGGTAGTGCTGGATCTCAAAACCAGCCAGCTGGAAGCTGAGTTGCTGTCTGTAATCAATACCTTAGTCATTTCTAAGCTCACATTAATAGTGAGTTGATTAGCACAATGGTCCTCTATGACAATTCATTAGCATGAGTGCCAGTCAGGAGGGAATCAATGGGAACTGACAGTCTGACCTTCCCTGGCAGTGACCCAGAGGGAGTCTGGGGCATCTTTCATTAGCACTCCTGGAAAACATCAAACCCTCCCAAAGTGGCTCTTCTCATGGCTCTGTCTGTTCTGCTTCTATTGATCTGGACAACTCAGAGTGCCAGTGAGCTCACAGGGCTGATGGCATCATTAATATTTCAGCTGTCTTTAATTCCAACGAACAATAAGAGCCCTGGGCTGGATCAGGGAGAGTGTTACAGCTTTGTGGTGGCAACCATACGAAAGCACAAAGTTCAAGCAGCAGGAAAAGGGCCAAGGTCTCATACGGGGTTCTCACCATGACCTGGGGCTTCCTGAAGAGCCTCTTTCCATTTAGTATAGCTATGTCATGTCCTGTCCCATCCCAATACTTACTGTTTGTCTCTGCAGGACAGGCAGTGAATCATTAAGTTTGGAAAAGACCTCCAAGATCCCCAAGTCCAGCCACCAACCCTTCCCCACCATGCCCACTGACCACATCCCTCAGTGCCACATCTCCACAGTTCTTGAACACCTCCTGACTCCACCACCTCCCTGGGCAGCCTGTCCCAATGCATTACCACTCTTTCAGAGAAGAAATTTCTCCTAATATCCAACCTGAAGCTGGTGGAACTTAAAGCCATTACCTCTTGTCCTATCAGATGTACAGAAACATGCTGTGCTAATAATTTTCCCCATGGGCACACTGGAGCATCTCCTCTCTTAGGTCACAATGCTTTGGAAGCAGTTAAATATCTGATGGTGCCCACAAGCATGAAGGATATGAACTGGTTTCACTTACTGTTTTATTTACCCATCCCTTTTTGCCTTGTCCTGCTGAGAGTGCAAATGGCTGTGACTCCAAACCTGCACTGCCTCAACTTCCTAACTTCTCTTAAGTTTATTTCACTTCAGACTCTTTTTTCCCCTTCTTTCCCTCCTGTACTTTCTGGATGACTATGGCAGTGGGGTTGGGGATCTCACTTTCTTCTACTTTAGCAGAGCAGATATACCCAGAGTGATGGTCACTGTTCATTACCACTCAGTAGACAAATACAACGTTCACTTTTAGACCAGTCCAATCACACAAGGACCAAACAAAAGGATTTAAAAAGGGATCCCAGTAGTACCCTTCTGACATAAAAATTCACAAAAATTCGGTCATAATAATAGCCATCAATGAGAACCTGCTTGTCAACGTTCAAGAAGCATTTTGATAATGCCCTCAATAACATATAATAACTTTTGGTTAGCCCTGATGTACTCAGGCAGTTGGACTTGATGAACTCTATAGATCCTTTCTAAGTGATCTATTCAATTCTAAAACTTTGATCCTAAGAACAGCCATCCCTAGTCAGATCAAGGACCTTTCTGTTCCAATAGCCTGTCTTCAACAGTAGATGCCAGCAGATTTCCCAGGTAGAATTATGAGAATAAGGTCAAGGAAGGCATAATAGAAACAGAAACAGAGCCATGAGAGATTTTTAGAGACATTCTCCAATGAAGGGTGAAGTCTGAGCTATTTCAGTGCATGCAAATCTAGTCTACCTTGGAAGAGGCAGGCCCAGAATATGTTGTGAATGGGCTGTAATGAGCAAATTCATCTCCCTCAGGTTCTTCCTCGTCATTGATATCGTCTGCATTAGTTCTGTTGCAAGAATTAACCCTAGCAAAAAAGGGCATAAACTGAGTGCATGTCTCCTTTCTGTCTCCTCCTTGTGTTGAACTCAGGTCATCCCAGACTGGAAGGAGCAGGAGTGGAATGCCGAGAAGCCTGAGAGCTATGCAGGGATCTTCCACTTCCAATTCTGGCGTTTTGGTCAGTGGCTGGATGTGGTAATAGATGACCGCCTGCCCACGCTTCACAACCAGCTCATCTACTGCCACTCCAACTCCAAGAATGAGTTCTGGTGTGCCTTGGTGGAGAAGGCTTATGCCAAGTAGGTACTTGGGCAGATGCAGAGCAAACGAGGACCTGCACACCCCAATTTTCATCTCTGTTCATTCATCAGTTGGCTTATGCCAGTGGAAAATATTTGTAGTAACAAAATGCTGCAGGCTGCACAGATGTCTGATGCCATGTAGAAGCTGGTGATGCTTATTTCTGAATTTGGCTTAAAGAACTAACAGAGGTAGCACTGCAACAGGGAGGCAGTATGAATTTTTCTGCTTCTATATGAGCTGAGATCTTTTCTTCTTGAGGATGCAACAGTGTTATAGGTCAGAAGCAGACCAAAGGTTATTGGAGCATATCTGTGGTCAGGGTCCCCACACCAAACATCATTCTTTTTCTCTTCTGGGTATAAGGTCTACTCAAGAATTGGAACTTCCAGCTGGAGGTTGCTTTAGCCTCAGATATTTTGGTCAAAACAACAGCTTTCTTGGGGAGGAATAAGATGTATCTCAGATACAAAGGAATTGAAAGAAAAAGCCTTCACGTGCTTCAATTTACCCTCAAAACAACATATCCTTCAACTCCACTTTGATTTAAATAATACCTATCTCAGGGATTTCAGGAGTACTGCAAACAGCACAGATCTGATTTTTTCACCCTCTTTTTGCTGACCAGTCCCACTGAAATACTGCCTTCTCCGTGCCATCTCAAGAAGTGTCTGAGAGCTCTTAAAATGTCAGTACTATTGTGCCATCCTTATCACCCTCTTTTAGGTTGTCAGGATGCTATGAGGCCCTGGATGGAGGCAACACAGCTGATGCTCTGGTAGACTTTACTGGTGGGGTTTCTGAACCTATCGACCTGACTGAAGGGGACTACACCACCGATGAAGCCAAACGAAACCTCCTCTTTGAGCGTGTGTTGAAAGTGCACAACCGTGGAGGTCTCATCAGCTGCTCCATCAAAGTAAGTAACATTGCCTGCATGATCGTGGTTTTATGGGAGTAGGCATTTTTGGATGCTGTTTATCCAAGCCTGTTGGAGGCATCTAAATTAGATCAAGTAAATTGTGGCCAAGAGTTCATACATTTTCTTATTGATGTCAGAGAAACTTGCACAGGGATGTAGTGTAGTGGGCATGGTAGTGATGGGTTGATGGTTTGACTAGACGATCTGATAAGCCTTTTCCGACCTTAATGATTCCATGATTCTATGAACTCAAGCCTGGAGTTCAACCCAACCCTCTTTATTACTCATTGCTATGTCCAAGAGTGCAGATTCATCCTGCTGGCCTTTGAATACTATCAGAGCATTCACTTCCAGGAAAAAAGCAAAAAATGTTTTCATGTCTGTATGTGAACATCTTCACGAACACTGGGTTTCAAATCTTCCATTATAACCAATAGGATGAGCATTATTGTTTAAGGAAGATTATGGGACATCATGGGAGCTCAGAGATCTCATGCAATCGGAGAAGACTAGAATGAATCTAGTACCTAATACAATGTCAGGTACTCCTGATGGGGCAACTTTCTCTGTCCCTGAGCACTGGTGCTCTTCTCCTTGTGTCCTCCTGTCCAGGCTATGTCAGCAGCAGACATGGAGGCCCGCCTGGCCTGTGGGCTGGTGAAGGGCCATGCTTACGCCGTGACTGATGTGAGGAAGGTCCGCCTGGGCCACGGCCTGCTGTCTTTCTTCAAATCAGAGAAGCTGGACATGATCCGCATGCGCAACCCATGGGGTGAACGAGAGTGGAACGGCCCTTGGAGTGACACGTGAGTGAGATAAGCAGCAGTAGCACTTTTTTTTGGTGGAAAATGTTGGCCTAGAGAAAGCCCT